AAAGCTATATATTTGTGTGTGGCAAAAATATGTGAACCTTTGCTTTCAGTAACTGGTGTACCCCCCTTGGGCAGCAATAACTGCAACTAAACATTTCTAATAACTGTTGATCAGTCCTGCACGTCGGCTTAGAGGAATTTGAGACCATTCCTCCTTACAGAACAGCTTCAACTCAGGAATGTTGGTGGGCTCCCTTGTATGAACTGCCCACTTCAAGTCCTCCCACAACATTTCTATAGGATTAAAATTTCAGGACTTTGACTTGGCCATTCCAGAACACTAACTTTCTTCTTTGGTCATATGACCTGTGTGTTTGAGTCGTTGTCTTGCTGCATGACCCACTTCCTTTTGAGCTTCATTTGTTGGACAGATACCGTAACATATTCCTGTAGAATTTGCTGGTACAATTCAGAATTTATAGTTCCATCAATGATGGCAAGTTGTCCTAGTCCAGAAGCAGCAAAGCAGGCCCAAACCATGATACTGCCACCACCACGTTTCACAGATGAGATAAGGTTCTTATGCTGGAATGCAGTGTTTGCCTTTCACCAAACATAACATTTTTCATGCTTTCTTCTTGCAACCCGCACCATTGTTGTTCAGTGTTCTCCTGATGGTAGTCTCATGAACACTGACGTTTGCCAATGCAAGAGAGGCCCTTAGTTCTTTAGATGTTACCCTGGGGTTCTTTGAGACTTCCTGGAGTATTACACAAGGAATGTTCTTAGTGTGATCTTGGTTGGTCAACCGCTCCTGGGCAGGGTAACAGTGGTGTTGAATTGCCTCCATTTGTACACAATCTGCCTGACAGTGGACTGCAGGTAGAGTCCAAACTCTTTGGAAATAGTTTTGTAACCTTTTCCAGCCTGGTGAGCATCAACAACTGTTTTTCAGAGGTCCTCAGAAATCTCCTCTGTTCATCCATGACACATTTCCACATACCTGTGTTGTGAAGATCAGAGATATTGAAATTGAATATCCAGAATGCTGTTCTTTAGATATGGCAGGACCTCCCACGCTCATGCCTGATTATCATCCCACTGATTTAAACACCTGGCTCTAATTTCCCCTTCAAATGAAGTGATAATGCTAGAGGTTCACAAACTTTTGCCACACACAAATATGTAACTTTGGATCATTTTCTTCAATAAATATAAGTATAATGTTTTAGGACTTGTACGGAGAACAGATCATGTTTTAGATCATATTTATGTAGAAATACTGAAAATTCAAAAGGGTTCACAAACTTTTAAGCACCACTGTAGAACTGATGCATCTATATAGCAAAGTATATCTAATTATTGGGCTAATGCTAGTCAGTGACCATAACAATAAAGATGATGATTCACGGAGTGGGATCTAGATTTGGCATACCTGGAATAAACTTAAAGTACAGTACTATATTAAAATCATTCTTATCTAAGTTATAAATGAGTATTTTCAATTGATTTTCATGGATCTACTTTTGTCATATTTATATAGCAGCCCATTTCACAATCAAGTGACTCTGGACAGTGTATATCTAGGTCTAAGCCAGGTCCTGCTGTCCTGCCTCATCATGGCAAAGAGGTATTCTTGGGAGGGATGACTGAAGAAATCTAGGAGTGTATGCCAAGAGTATATAATCCAAGCAGGGTCATCCAACCTGCCCAGCTAAAGCAAGCAGTCACCTATATTGGGCAGTAGTGATATAGAAAGATACCAGAAGCAGATGATCACTTTAGTGACAATGGTAAAGGCATCCATTCATATTTCATAGGAGAATACAATGGTAAAACACCCCTGTATTTTTACCAAGAAAACCACAGCAATTTAGTGTCTACCTAAGATTTGGTGCATTAGTGTTTTAAATTTATGCTTAATTTTTACGATGCAGTAATATACTTTTACATTGTTAATCAAAATATATTAGCAATTTATAACATCCCCCTATTTAACATATCCTGGATAGTAAGAGAAACACATGCATAGGAATGAATGGCCTGGTCACTTAACATTTTAATCTAGCAATTGCTGATTAAACTACAATTTGCTGAATTTGCTTAATACACAGATACAAACCATAGTTTACAATCTGTAACAGCAAGGTTTACACAACATGGCAAATCAAAATAACTCACATTATGACTTAGTATGTAATGTAAACCAGACCAATATCTGTTTTTAAGGAACAGATTAATTAAAAACAAAAATATTGTGACCCTTTAAATAAAGGCTAACCTCCATATATGTACTTTGGGATTTACTTTCCAGAGATGCCACGTTAGTTGCAGAGAAAATGAAAAGACTCTGTTCACACAATGCACAATTTATCCTGGCTAATTTAAACATTTTATTTAAAAAACACTCGTTGATTTGCAGAAAATACAGTGAATCATAAACTAACAACACATGGAGTTCATACAACATGTTAGGCCAAAATGACTAGTTTGTTCTTCAGTGTCATACAAGCACAAATGATCTTGAGACAATTTAAAGAGTAAAACATTTATTATTGTATAATCTTTCATGGATTAGTTTATGTTTTCATGCAGAATGTATATTTTCAAAATTACATTGTTGTCACTGGAATGTACTGGCCAAGTCTGTTAATTCCAAGGTTTGCTTACCCATAATTACTAAATAAACTGTAACTGGTTGAACTCACACAAGACCTTAGATCCTTCACTATGGTTTAAACCACAAACAAGCACACTACATATTGACTTAGCATGGAAAGTGTTTCTTTCCATTTTCATTTTAAATACACTACTCCTTTGACATGTTCTTTCATTACTGAAAGAACTATTTTTTTAAAAAAATATCAGCTTTGGGGGGAGGGGTAACAATAGAAATTATTGCACCTCTGAAAATTCCCACAGTAATTCTGGATAATTGGCATCTCACCAAATAAAAGGTTAAATTAAATGTCCATGCAATGAAATCAGATTAATTCTGGAACAAACTGTTTCTGAAACAAACATATTTTGAACAAATTACCTCAGAGTAGTCCTATGCAGAGAAAACAACTGAAGTGTCCAGTGATGGACTAAGTTAACAGAACACAGTAAACTAAAATATAGCTTTGAGTGAACCAGGCCAGTATGGTTAGTGTCTCATCTGTTGTGTGAATATCAGCAATTAACTTAAGTAAACTATAGTTAACTATGGGTAAGCATGACAAACACTGTCTTGAAATTTAAAAACCAAACAATAATACTGTATAATAGTCCAAAAAGGTTCTAGTTTCTGTGACTGATTAAACCAAACACATTTTCTTACTATGTTAAATGTCAAAATTCATCTCAAAATAACTTATAAACACTTTTTAGTAATCTATTTTGAGTTGGACTTTGATATTTGGAATAGTGAAGAAATAAGTTTCTAATTGATCATTTCATTGTTAGCTAGTGAAAATTCAAGTTTTCACCTGGGTGACCAATTTAAATTCTAGACTTTCTTTTGCCCTGTAAAAAGTAAATTTTCCTAATTTGCTAAATCGACAGTGACCTATTCATAGTTTCCCACTTGTATTTGGCTAGACCTGATGGCTCTAGTTCGTGTTTGACAGCATGGTGGAGCCGCCGTTCTGCGTGAAGAATGGTCGCGTTTGCGGCGCATGAAGATTAGCGACCATTCACGGTGTCGAGGGCAAAAGAGCGACTTTAAAACTCTTCAAACTGCTCCCTCTATTGCCGCACAAGTAACCGAGAGAGCTGGCAAAGCGAGAAGCTTGCATAGGCGACGCGGAAGTGGGTCTAGCAGCTTTAGCCCAGCTTCTTTCCTCACGCCTTTCTCCAGGGAATAAATACTTTGTGTACGGAATTGCTGCAAGGTGGAGCGAGAAAGGAAAGGCGGTGGTGCTTTTTCCCGCCTCTTTCCTCCCGTTTTATCAGGGGAGGAATAAGTAAATGGGAGAGGACGTGGGTTTGACCAACCGCACCAAAGACCGCGGACGCCCCTATTGTCGAAGAGCGGGCGTCAATCCCAGGGCTAAGGAAGGGGGAACCAACCACGCAAGGGAAGTGCGCATCCTCCATTTTGGCTGAGGGAGGGTGGAGAGATTGGCTTTCTCTCCTTTGCCGCCCTGGCAATGGTCAGTCCTATTCAGCACTCGTAGGGCACTGCCAAAGGCGCCCTCTGTGCTTTTTCCTGATCCTGAGGCGAAAGGCAGTGAAAACAAGCGCCTCACAGAGCCCCATATTGGCTTGAAGGGGTCCCAAGTTCCCTGCAGCAGCTTCCGACAAAATGGAGGACGACACCACCATTACCAACCATTACCACCATCACCACCAGGAGCCGTGCTGGGCTGCTACTGAGACGCCTTTTCTTGCCTCGGAATAGTTGGGAGCGCGAAAAGAGTCCTCCTGAAGACAGGGACCCTTGTCCTCGGGGAAGCACTTACAGGCTGCCCCTTGTGTTTGGGACTTGGTTTCTATTATTCTGCCCCCTCTTAGAAAGGGTTCCAGATCCACAGCCCACGGGGGGGAGGGCGTCTAAAGCCCGTTGGCTTTATTGCCATATCCGTCCTTGCCGCTCACCTCAGCGCGGTGTTCAGCCCTGCTTTTACCCCTTGTCCCTGTGGCAAGAGAATTAATTGCCCCGTGGCAAACAAATTAATGGGTTAAACACCCTCCTCGCTGGTAAATGACATGGGGGCTTAAGGGAAGCCATCGCCCTTTCCTGGGGAGGGGGAAGAGAGGCAGCATAAACTTCTGCATGAAACTACTCAGCAGCGACGCTAACCACCGGGACCGCAAACCTTCCCCATCCAGTTGAAAAAAGCAGAGGTGCTGCAGCTGTTAGTGGTGGGCAATGCAATTCGGGTTTTCTTTAACCTGGTGGAACCAAAGGAGGAGGGTTGGGAGGCGTGTGCATACAGCCAATTGACAGAACCTTGGCTCAACCAGCGACGGGGAGTGCCGATAGACGGGTAGTTTCTCCAATGGTTTTGCCTGATACCAAAGCCCTCCCTCTGGGAAAGCCAATGGGCGGGAACACGAGGCGGCCTTTCCCCGGGCTCGGATGGTTAGGTTTTGTCCCTCCTCCTCCCCTTCGCCAGCAGCAGCGTTTAGCCCGGGACTGGACCGAGATAGAGTTGAGGAAGCGTTGGCGGAGCAGCGGAGGGTGCGTTTTACCCGCAGGCGGGCGGGGGGAAGCGACTTTTGCGGAGCTCGGTGAGGGGATCAGAGGAACGGACTGAGGTAGAAACAGCGGAGCCGGGTTAGACGAACTGGCTTGAAGCCCAGCTGCCCTTTCAGGGTGGGGACAGGAGCAGACCAGCCGTGTCTCAGAACAACTCGGGCTAAATACCCCGCTGCGTGTCGTTCTGGTGGCCGCTGCTGTCCGTTCCCATTCCCGCCAGTAGATTAGGAAGGCAAGAAAGGATCAGCGGCGGGTAAGAATCGGAGGACGGCAGCCCCGTTACGACGCGAGACAGGCGCTTTGGCAGACATTCGGAGAGGGCTGCCGTGGGGTATCTGGGTGCGTGCGTGTGCAGTGGGGGGGCGCGATGTCTCTCCGCCCGGCTTTATTTCCAACTGCCTCCTGGGGGGAGTGTTCCCGTCCCCTCGCGCTTCCTTCCCGCTCCTTCCTCCCTCGCGGGAGTCTGTAATTGCGCTCCGCGTTGCGCTCCGCGGATCCTCCTCTTTCTCCCCTCCCGTATTGTTTGGCTGGATCTCTTTAATGGCGGCCGACTGGAGGCGGCAGTGCTGCTAGCCGACTGCAGGGGGCCAAGCGCAACTCCCGGGGCAATTGGCAGAAAGCTGCGTCGGGGTAGATTTCGGCGCCGGAGACGCGGGCGGGAAGGGGATGGGATCGAGTTGGATTCACTCCCGAGAGTTTTGTAACGTGGAGGGGAGGTTGGGGGTTTGGGTTGGGGGAGTTCTTCGGCTCCACAACCCTCATGCTTCCAGCAGAAACTCCTCCTGTTTGTTGCCCGTGGGGAGTCGCGTCCGAGGAGGGAAGACCCGATCCTCCTGTGAAGGGGGTATCCGTGAGGCGCTTGGAGGCCGTCACTGGGCTAAGAGGCTAGTATCCCTTTGGGAAGGGCGTCTAGAGGGGTGCTGGGTACCAACTCGAAGGCAGTGGTGGCAACTCTGTTTTGCCCATGAGGAAGGGCGTCTCCTGGAGGGGAAGATGGGAAGGCGTGCCCGCTACCCCTGTGGATGCCCCCCTTTACGAGCACCTCCCCTTTTCCCTAGGCTCCAGGCCAGTTTGGTGCAGCCTTGGCAGAGCCCAGCAAGGAGAAGGAGCTCCCATTGTGAGTGCTATTTATATATGTTTTCCTGCCTTGGGAGGCGGAGGTAGAGCACCCATTTTTGGCACGAGGACTGGGGGTGGGGATTAAGAGGAGGTGCCTCTCAGGGTAAGTGGGGGGAGAGATGGTTGGGTGCAGCAGCTGCTGCCCTGGAGCAAAGCCCCGGTAATGGCCGTGAGGCGACTCCACCCCCGCGGGGTGGGCTCTGTTGCTGCAGACATCGCTCCTGCAATACCAACACCCGCAAGCGGACGACGGGCTCCTGCCGCTGCTCGCCTTACCCGGCTCGGGAGCGAGGGGGCGGGTATCTTTCGAGTGCCATCTAGAGTTTTGGAGCGTACATTAAAGTGACATATTTTACTCTGATTTAAATTATTTCCGTCCGAACTCTGAATCCCCACAACCTTACCTGACCTATTTGACAAGCAGGCAGGAGAGAGAAGACTTCAGATAACCTACTTTTTAGCAAAGCATGCTGTAGTAACCGACTTCTCTCTGTTTGGATCACACAATTCTTTCTCTTTTCCAAATGGATTTGCTTGAGACTGGAGGTGGGAAAATGAAACCATTGGTTGTTGTTATTTTTTTCAAGTTGTTTTTCTAGTGGTTCATAGTTAAAGGCGGCTGTCTGGCCCCATTTCCCTTGGAACCTTTGAAGTTGTTTGAGAACCCTGTGGGTTGTTGCATGTTGTGTCTCATCAGATTTTCCAAGATGTATGCTTTCTTTGAGCAAAATCATGTAAGTCTCTTTTTGCCTTCTACACCCTACATTTACTGGTCCCTTTCCCTCACCTTACTAAGAAGATTTGGAACCACTAAATGGCAAAGTCACTTGGTGAAGTGAATCCTAATGGAAACAACCCCAGGCCCATCACCAGGAGACTAAAAACAATAGTAGTCCCATGGAGGATCTGTTTAATGTCCCCTGAAGAAACCACTGGTGATACTTCACTACCCAGAACCATAACTCAGTGGAATGAGAAGTGGGTGGGGGAGTTTAAATACTAGTCATTTGTAAATGGTTTACAAATAAGACAATAGGAACCTGATTCTTAAAAATTGACAATCATTTTATAATAGATGAGGATCTGTTTAATGTCCCCTGAAGAAACCACTGGCGATACTTCACTACCCAGAACCATAACTCAGTGGAATGAGAAGTGGGTGGGGGAGTTTAAATACTAGTCATTTGTAAATGGTTTACAAATAAGACAATAGGAACCTGATTCTTAAAAATTGACAATCATTTTATAATAGATGTGCCAAATTTTTTCATGGGCATGCAGGTTGGGTAGTAAATCCATCGTAATGCAAAAATGGCCTCTAAACCTGGATAGAATATTGTTGCTTAAAGTTTTATATGTAATGCTAATGTAAAATGATACCAGTACTGATGTGCACACTACTGTTACAGTGTAGTTACATATTAGGCCAAGGCCCTGCTTGACTTTTTTCTTAATCTTAATCTTTTCTTAATCTTAATTTCTTACTCTTAATCTGAGTACTTTTAGCAGTATCATAGATAACAAAGGATGAGTTACTTTTACGGGCACTGTCATTTCTTTTGCTGATCCCCATGATCCAGAGTGGAACATTTTTTTAAAAAAAGCTCCTGCAATCATGGGATTAAAAAACTCAGCTATGTCAGAGGAATAGATGTATTCAAAATAAAAATGGAAAGAAACACTTTTCATGCTTAATGGTTTATTTTTTTGTTTCTGTGACATATGAAGCCAGTTTTTCTGTTATTAAACACTGTTGAGTGAGTCCAACCAATTCACTTATTCAGTAACAGTGGGCAAGCAAACCTTGATTAACAGCCTTAACTTGTTCATTCCATTGAGAATACTGCTGTTTTTAAAAAATAAGTTCTACTACATAAAGAACTATCAAAGTTGAGAAAGTAAATGGAAATTTTCATATTGGAGAAATATAGGAAATAAAGTTTGGTCAGCTTTAAATAAACTTTGCATATTTACTTAAACTAGAGTATTTGGAAGTCTTATTGAGGTCTATTCATATGATAGTTACAAGTGGGCAAGGGAGATGAGCTTGTATACAAGTCTGCCTACAACATACTCATCCTCTAGGACCCCTGTGTGATATCGGAAGGAAAGTTTGAAAATGTCCTTATTTTTGCTTGAATATGAGTAGAAGCTAACATGTGATTCATACCTTTGGTTTAGTTACTCTCAAATGATTTCATTAGATATGGGAACTTCATAAATAGAAATAGCTTGCAAAGATAAGTTGGTCATACAAAATGTTTAATTGACTAATTGAAAGCACAACCAAACTGGTTGGTCTCACACATCACACCAAACTGTCACTTGATTTGTTGGTTTTTGTTTAGAAGGTTGTCTGAAACCAGCTGTTTTATTCAATAAGCCATTATTAAACAATCCAAAATTTAGTTCGTTGTACGTAGCTTTGTATTTAAAAGTAGGTTTAGGTTTGTTTCTGATAACATTTGGCATTTTCACATAGAGTATTAAAGAACCAAATGGGTATATTCATGTAGAAATCATACATGGGTCTGCTGGAGTTTCTGCATATCGAAGAATGGATTTTGCATTTACAGTAGTCATATTCTATTAAACTTCTTCAAAAGTTGATTGGATGCCAGGTAACATGTAAAAATTTAATAGAAATAGTCTCTTCTGACCTATCTGTACAAGTAAAAATAAAGCACATCTCCACATTTTACTGATTTTTTTAAGGTAGGTTATTTGCTTCAGAATGAAACTTTCATTCTAACTTGAGATTTTATGCTGTATGCTAATTATTTACTTCTTGGTTCTGCCTGTCAGAAGGAATGGTTAAACAAACCTGTATCACTCTGTGCAATATATGTGAATTGGCTAGTCTACCTTGTTCTTTTTCTAAGAGACAAGGATTATAAATAATGATTTCTTCTTCACTTGTGACTCTGGCTTAATAGGAAAGGAATGAAACTGATTGCCTGGTTCTCATATAAAGAGAAACAAACGTCAGATATACATGAACAAAAATCAAGGTTCACCAATAAAACTTTCTGTATCACCCAAATCTATATACACTGTATTTCTTCCATTTGTGTTGCTTCTCGTCCTCCTGCTTACAGTCCACACTCGTGCACGTAGATTCTCACAACTCAGAGTAACAGTTAATTTATCTGATAATATGAGCTCTGGTTTAAAAACAAGCAATTTTTTAGTCTTTAAGGCACCACAAGTTGCCTATAATTCTTCCAATTAGAAAAAGATTTCTGCCTATAACTTGAGAGCTTCAGTCAGTTATAATAGAATATCCTTGTTGAAAGTTGGCAAGATAGCATGATTTCATTCTTATAGGTTCTAGGGATGTGCAACACATTCAGTGCATAGAGCAACTGTTCTCAGATGGTCTTCCTCAAACTGAAATGTGCTTTTCAGAAGTTTTGGTCCATATACAGAATTAAACAAGCTTATTTGCTTCCAGATAGGGCCTTAAATATGGTTCCAGGTAGAGGTGTTTCAGGGAGATGGGGGTTAGAGTGAGAAAAGTAAATTATGTACAAAGCATTGCACCCTTGGAACAGCTTGTTCTGGATAGTCCATATCCAGACTGAAACATATATGTTACTGGTAAAAGTGTTCTGCATGAGGGAAAGAGATGATTGAGGGAGGAGTGAACTGGTTGGCTATGCTATGCCTGAGTACAAAGATATTGACCAGAGAGGTAAGGAGGAAAGGAAAGCATTGGGAAGATGAACAGGTAGGCTGGAGCATAAGTCATGTGGAGAGGAGGATGAGGCACTCCAGTCTTGTCCTGCTTGCTTGATGACACCTCCCCAGATTTTTTTCAGCCAAAACTGAGAATAATCAAAATGGGTTTTGATTGTGTAGAA